TGGATGCCTCTGAGCTCCACAGGGCAAAGGACTTGCTTTGAGAGTAGAGTAGATGGGGCTGGGCTCTGCTGAGAATGCATTGGATGTGGCAACGGCCGAGGGTTATTATGATGATGACAATTATAATTAAAAATCACAGCAACAAACCCTTAAGCAATTTACAAAGAGTTCTCATTATCTCCCAGGATTCACAATCTGGTGAGGTAGGTTAGGCTAGATGATGATTATTCACTTTTGGTAGATGAGGAAAGTGAAGCAAAATTAAGTGACCTGTCCTAGCTTTTAAGTGGAGAGAGAGGGGAACCAAGAGGGCAGTAATAATTATTGAGTGCCTCTTGCGTGCTACCTCATAAAGTTCAAACACACACATGTGTTGTCTTGATCTAGTCACACCATTATGATCCTGCATTGCAAGTGCAGCTGTCCCCATTTCATAGAAGATGAGTCCAAGACCAAGAAAAAGGCTTACCCTAAGTTTCATTGCAAAGTGTGCATGCCTGTGCTTCCTTTCTGTATGTGCTTTGGATAGCAGACCCAAGAATCTCAAACTCTAGTTTTCATATATTAGGCAGCCTTGAGGATAAAGGGGATGGACTCTCCCTCCCAGCTTGCTTAGCAGCCTCTGCAGTAGTCTTCAAGTAAAGGTCCTACCCACCCCCTCTCTCTAGCAGGACAGCCTCTCCTCTGCTTCCACCTGGAGAGCCGTGTTTTTGAAATGCAAATCTGATCCTTCCAGGCTAAGTTAATCCTCTTCCCATCTCTCTACCACCTGCAGCATTGGTCAAGTGCTACACAGGTGCCAGATCAGATCCCAACTAACCACCCCATCCTGCCTGCTCCCAATAACTCACCACCCCTATTCCAACCACATCGAAGTATTTAGGGTCCCGTAAACTATCCATGCTGCCTTTGTGCATCCAGTTACAATTACTGGATTATTACTTGGAACATAAAATCCAGCCCAATCATCTCTCTCTCTTTCAGGAAGTCTCCCTCAGCCCCCCAGTAAACAACCACACCCTGATACCTGGTACACTGTCCCTGTGATACTGAATCTTTACATGTGTACTCCCACCTCCAATCTGGGAACACTGTGTTGTATTCATATCTGTATGTAGGGTGCAACAAAAAGCCATTCAAAACTATTAAACTGAATTGTGGAATAGCCCTAATAGTAATAATAGCTAACATACACCAAGTATTAACTATGTGCTTAGCATTGTGCTAAGCATCCCACATGTCATGCTGTCTCATCTAATATTCAAAATAACTCTATGGAACAGATGCTATCATTGACCCTGTTTTATAGGTGAGGAAACAGCTGCTCAGGAGCAAAGTCACTTGTCTAAGCCTGCCAGCTGGTCTGTGGCAAAGCCCAAATGACCCCAGCGCCACTGATATAACCATTACTTGGTACACCTTCCATCCCATTACCCTCATTTTACAGAAGAGGAAGCAAATATGAGAGGGAAAGAAACTTCCTTATAGTCAAGTAACAAGACTCAGACCCAGAACCTCTGTTTCTTCATTCACTGCTCTCCTTTCTTATTCTGATCCAGGATGACACAACACAAGTTGGCTGTCTTCTGCCTAAGTACATAGTGAGTGCTAAAAATCTATGACCAGGGAATGCAATGACAACAAAGACGGCCAAATCTATTTCAAGAAAGTCTGAGACCTGCCTAGATACTACAATGTTAGGGCTTGAGGGAACACTTGAAGTATCATTTAGTGCAATTTCCCATTTTTATTATCTTTTCACTCAATAAATTCCTTGAATATCCATCATGAGCAGGTACTTTACAAGGCATTCATCCATTGCTCTGAAATTGAAACCGATTCACAGCTGATCCTCCATTGGATTTCTTACGCTGTAAATTGCCCAAAAGGAGATTGTTCATCTTCCTCCCTCTGAGCAGATGGTCATCCAAACCACCAAAGAGACATGGATGGCCTTTGGGTTGGCAGCATAACTCCCTATGGACTAGGCCACCACAGGTACTAGAAAGACTGATAAACAAGCAAGTTCCTGCCCAGAGACATTTACAATCTACAGGAGGAGGCGGACAATTAAACAAGTAGTTTATGTATAATTATAAAGTCTAAGTGCTGTGAAATTTAGGGGCGGAGCATTAAAGATTAGCTTTAAAAAGGAAAGCTAACTTAACATGGAGAATTTGTAAAGGACCTCTAGAAAAAAATTACTCTAGAACTGAAATCTGAAGAAAAAAGTGTCAAAAAGGGAAAGAAGATGGAAAAGTATATGCAAAATCCTGGCAGTGAGAACCCACATGGCTGGAGTGAACTAAAAGGCAAGAGTGGCTTTTAGTTTCTAGATAGGTAGGTTGGTGCTGTTTCCCATGGGACCTTTTAGATCAAGGTAAGGACAGGAGAACCCACAGGAAGTGCTGTCAACATGTCATTATGTTAATCAGTGAAGCAGTGAAAATTACAAGGAAGGCCTAGAACTTGAAACCAGAACCACTAACCTCCAAGGCTACAGGGCTGCTTCAGGTATGTAACATATATATGTACGAGGGATAGATGTTTCTGGAGTCACCTGACGCTAGGTTCCCCATTCAGTGCCTATGCCTTGCCAGAGCTCTAGAGTGGCATCAAAATCATCTCCATTTGTTAAAATACAGATCACTTGGTCCCATCCCCAGAGTTACTGGCTCCAGAGGTTAGAAGTGAGGCCCAAGAATTTGTATTTCAAGTTCCCAGGTGACCCTGCTGATCCAGGTAAGGCACCTGCATTTCAACCATGGCTCTAGGCAGGGCGGGTTGGGGAGGGGGGGAGTGGGGGATAGCAACCTTACCCAGGATCTTTGAAATCTAGAAGGGTATATTCTTAAACAGTAAGGAAAATTCTTGTACTTGTACAACAAACTTAAAGGCTTGAGGAGTTTCCTTAGATCCTTTCACACAAAAGAAATTCAATAAAAATGTGTTTGTTAAAACAACAGATAATCACATAAACGGTTTGCCCAACGTTTGGCCTGAACTCCAAGCCAGTCTTGCCCTCGTCCTGGGAAAGGGATTCTGGGTAGGGCCACCAAGTCCAGCCTTCCCCAGCCTCTGCTGCTTTTGGCAGGAAAACATTTTAAGAATCACAGAAATCTGCTGTTGGCTTCCAATGCTACCACTCAACCACCCTCCTTCCTTTTACATTCACAGCTCCCTCCTTTTACACTCCGTATCCTGTACACTTCATCTTGGCAAGTCAGGCGGAAGAGGGAAGATGAAGTTTTAGGAAAGAGTTAGAAGTAAAGAAGAATTCTTGCACTTAGCATATCCTCCTCCCAGAACAATTCCTTCCTCCAGTAAGATTCTCCATTTCTCTCTAGTCTGGTATACTTGTTCAAGCCCAATCTACCTTCATTTCTGTATCCAAAAAGCCAAGAGCAAAATTCATAAACCACCTTTCCACTCCATCTTTCTTAAATAGAGTGGCCATGGACAGAATGTTTTCACTCTGTTCTAGCTGGCAGGGAAATGCCCTTCTCTTGTAAATCCACTTGAATGGACTCACTAAGATACAGCTAGCTCTATGTTCATTAAAAAACCCAACTGTAACAGAACTCATAGAGATATATACAAAAAGAAATAAGGTAATCGCTGATAAAACACACCTAAGCACATATAGAAGAATACACAGGGTGAGAACCGGGGGACACTAGCGTGAACGCAGATCATACATCTATAAAAACACGCACACAGAAATACCAGGGGAAGGAGGGCAGACACACCCAACAGCGTCCCTCTCAAAGTAGAAAGGTTTGCCAAGGAGACACTCTTTTTTTTGGAGGGGGACACTCTTTAAGAGAGTGGGTCTCACTCCTCATTCTTTCAGGGTACCTGAGGTGTGATTCTTCCCACCCGAGCTCATGTGGGAGATGGGGCGGAGGAGGTGGGAGATGCGGTGGGGAGTTGATGAGGCCCTATTCGACCAGTGACAGGAAATGGATTTCTAATCTGGCTGGGTCACTAGCGTTGGGACCACCGCTGCTGCCTCCTTCTTCCTCCCCGCTCCCCCCACAACACACACACACCCGCGCGGTCGCATACACAAACACACACACACACGCACACACACACAGCCCAGCTTCAGCAAGACACGCCCTCCGCTCCTGCATGGCCCAGGACAACAGCTCCTGCCAGCCCAGCTCATTCTGACCCCCGGGGTGTGGCCGCCCACCTGCCAGCAGGGAGTCTCCACCTGGCTGGGGTGCCCCTGCCGCCTACCAACCCAGACAGGTGACGGGTCCCTGGAGACAGTAGCCCCTCGGCCGCCGCCCCCACCCCGTCCTCGCGGCAGTGCAGAGACAAAGCCGCGCACACGCACATGGGGGCTACGCGGGTGCACACATGCCCTCACACGCGCACACAGGGGGAGTCACACTGGCGTGCACAGCGAGACACACACGCGCGCGCGCACACACACACACACACACACACTCGCTTCGCCACAGGCTCCAGCCACAAGCGGAGGTACTGGCACACACCCTCAACCAGATGTACACACTCGGCTACACATTCAGACACACCCTCTCACAGCCACATTCATGGATAGACCCACGCACACACGCACACCCTCATCTGAAAACACACACAACCACCCAGTCCAGACGTTCAGAAACGTCCAGGGCAGTACAAACCCTTAACACACACAAGCCCGAGCTCACACACCGAGCATCCACTGGCACAGAGCCACGGGCACACACGCGCTCACACCCAGCACACACCCAGAGACGCGTGGATCTCGACACCAACTCACGACAGGACAGAAAGGGACGAACCAAAGCCCAGGGTTCCTGGCACCAGCACCCGACACCCCACCCCCACCCCCAGTGGCGTCCAGCCCTCCAGAGTCTACTGGCTGCCTGTCAGTCCTAGAGGGATGGGGATCCGAGCCCGGAGCCCACGGTGATCCCCACTTAAGGCGCTCCAGACGCTCTGGGTACCTTGGGACCGGGAGGAGGACAACGGGGGCGGCTAACCTGGCGGGCGGCGCGGCTTCCGGGCTCTGTCGGTCCCCGGGTCCGTGAGTCCAGCGGCCGCCCTGGTGGGCTCCGAGGCGCACTCGAGCTGCGCAGAAATGCCCCGCTTGCTCGCTCGCTCCCTCCCACTGCGCTCAGCCCCCTCCCCGCCCGCCCCCCACTCCCCTTCTTCCCCCTCCGCCCCGCCCCGGCCAGTTCCCCCACAGGAGGAGGCAGTGATCCCGACCGCCGGAGAAGCCACCGGCGAGCGAACAAGCAGCGGCGACGAGCAGCGCGGGGGAGCGCGGCCGCTGAGGCCGGAGTCGGGACCGCGCGTCGGGAGGAGCCGCGCCAGCCCCCGGGGAGGAGGGGGAGCCGGCGAGCCAGCCCCGCGCCTGGCCCGCTGTCGCTTCCCCACGTGGGCCTCGCACCTACCTGGACCACCGCGGCGCTCGCAGGCGGGGGACCAGCAGTGGGGCGCAGAGGAGGTGGAAACCCCACCCCGGGCTTCTCACCCTCCTGACCCCAGGCCGGTGGGCTCTGGCCCCGCCCCTGCCTCTACCAAGGCCCCCGCCGGCTCCGAACTTGGCTTTCCCGGCCTCAGACGTCTGGGCTCTCCGCCTGTGCCCCAGGCTAACCTCGCGACCGGCTCCCAGCTCGCTGGCCTGCTCTACCTCCACCCGGACCTGGCCGACGCCCACCAGCCTCCCTGCCATCCTCCCATTGTTCTCGCGGCTAGAGCTCTGGAGGATCGCGTCGCGCCTTGCAGTCCCCCTCTCAGGTGGCTGAACCTCAGGTCCCTCCGTGGGCTCCCCTAGGGGCTGACCCACTGGCTTTGGAACCCCAACGCCTGTCCTACACCTGGGGCTGACACGTCCAAGGTACAGGGCTTTTCCAAATTAGAGTTAGACCCTTACAGCAGTTCCTTACAGGACCTGTTCTGAAATACAGACTGAAAGAGAGTGACTAGCTTAAATCCAGTTACTCCAAGAATGCAGTCTGGAGGAAGGTGGGGTGTTTCCATTTCACAGATGAAGAAACTGAGGGAATTCCTGCCTCCGCTGGGTCTCCAGAAGCAGAGCTTGGCCTCCAGAAGTGTCCCAACCATGAGGAAGGAGCCTGCCTCTTCTTTGTTACATACGGAAGTCAGAAGTAGTTAAGCAAAAAACCTACTATGTGTATGCACTTGCTGGGGGTTTTGATGGAATTAGAGTACTTGTAAAGACCTACTAAGTGCAAGGAGATGAGCTCTGCCAACCCAAAGGCCATAACTTAAATCCACTAGCTAGCTGCTCCAACAGAAGAAAAATGGGCAATCTTTCCTGTGTGATTAACAGCCTCTGAAAATCCTCTAGAGGGTCAGCTGTGAGTCAGTTCAGCTTGATCATATACAACAGCATCAAAGAAGGAGAAGCTCTGGTTAAGGGCTCAATGGTTAAGCCTAGCACTTAACTCAATGGTTACGTGCTAGGCTTCTAACTGAAAGATTGAAGATTGAAACCCACACAAGCAGGGGAAAGACAACAATAAGTCTACTTTGCCATATGGGCTCACTATGCTTTGAAATCAATTTAATGGCACTTAACATAAGCAACACCTAAATGCAAGAATTTTCCGTTCCTTGTCTCACTCATACTCAGGCTCATGTGGGAGCTGTGACTGTCCTGATTTTGCAGATGAGAACTCTGCTCTAGGTGTCTCTGCCAGACAGCACAGCACAGAACCTAGGTGAAGCTTCGAATTCAATTCTACCCCTGTAGCCCCACACTTCTTTATAGGGCTGAGTGAAGAGCTGAAAACAAGAAACCAAGGAGCCTTCTTTTGGCTCTTGAAGGACTTCTACTAAGAAAATAGTATAACTGAGGGAGCCAAAGCCTCAAAGCAATAAAGAACTTGACTTGTTAAAGAGAGGAGGAAAATTATAATGAATAATAATTAGAACTGTTGTTAGTAGGCATTTAGTTGGTTCCCACTCCTAACAAGGCTATCTATGTACACTACCAAGTTCCTTGTCATCTTCATAACCATTGCTATGTTTGAGCCCATTGTTGTAGTCACTGTGTTGAGGGTCTTCTCATTGGAACTCATCTTGTTGAGGGTCTTCCTCTTTTTTCCATGATACTTTACCAAGCATCAAATGTCCAAAAGAGTGGGCAGAAAGGATATAGATTAAGATCACTTTCATTTAAAATGACTTAAAGCTTTTCAAGTTAATCTAAAGCTCAGTAAATAAAAGCAAGCAGTGTAGGCAAAAAGGAAGGAACGAAGGGAGGAAGAAAAAAAGGAAAGAAAAAGTGAATGTGATGTATTGTACCAAGAGAAATCAGAGGTCATGCCAGCTCTGTACTGCTCTGGAATGACCACAGCTTGTCCACAGAGCTCAACTCTGGACTTTGTCTCACAAAGTACAGGACTTTGAGGGACAATGTCCCACTGGACACCATAGAGCTTGACGAATGATTTATGTAATCTGGAAAAAGGAAAGCAGAAAGGGGATGTAGTGACTGTCTCCAAACATCTGAAGGCCCATCATGAAGAAAGAGGATTTGATTTATTTCTTTTCCAGGCCATGGTCTTCAGCAATTACTTGCCACGCATCAGAGAGCTGGACAATGAATAAGCATGACAGAAGAAGAATTGATGCCTTTGAGTTTGGTCTGTCTTGGAGAGGGTGAAACCAAGTTTCGCCTTAGAGGCTAAGATTTTGAAGCTCTGTCTCACATACTTTGGACACATCGTCAGGAGAGACTGGTACTTGGAGAAGGACATCATGTTCTGAAGGGTGGAGGGACAGCTCAGGAGAGGAAGACCCCGGATGAGATAGATCGATACAGTGACTGGGACAATGAGGTTTGGTATGTCGGAATTAGTGAGACTGGCTCAGGACAGGGCAGGGTTCAGAGCTGCTATGCATAGGGTCGCTATGGGTCACATGCACCTCGATGGCACCTAACAACAACATTATATTGTTAGGTGCTATGGAGTTGAGAATGAGTCATAGTGACCCTGTGAACAATGGATCTGAACCGTCCTTTCCTGTATCATCTTCACACTTCCTGACACACTTTCATCCCATTGTAGCCCCTTGTCAACCCACCTGGTCGATGGTCTTCCTCTCCTTCGCTGACCCTCCACCCTTCCAAGTGGCAGGTTTCTCTCCAAAGAATAGCCCCTCCTAGCAAGATGCCTGAAGCATGTGAGGCAAAGCATCATCATCCTTGCCTCCAAAGAGCACTCCGGCTGCACCCTCCCCAAGATATATTTATATGTTCTTTTGGCAGTCCATGGGATGTTCAGTGCTCTTCTCCAACACCACAGCTCAAAGACATCAATTCTATCATCCTTAACTGTAAAGCTCTCAAATATATAGCAAGTGATCAGAAAGACCATGGCCAGAATCAGAAGCACCTTAGTCCTCAAACTGACATCATTACTCCTCAATAATTTGGAGAGGCTCCTTCCTTCAGACTTTCCCAGTGCAATGTGTCTCCTTATTTCCTGACTGCTGGTATCTTGGGTTTTAATTGTGGATCCAAGTAAGATAAAGTTGCTGACAATTTCAATCTCTTCTCCACACATCCGGATGTTGCCTATCAGTCCAGTACATAATTCTTATTATTTAGGTCTAATAAAATAAATCAGTACAAACTAACCCTCTAGGCAATAAGCCAACACAAAAATTAATATTGAATTTATGATGGTGTAGCCCATAGGGAGTTACACTGGTGGTATAGTTCACAGGAGTTGCACTGCTAACCCAAAGGCTGTGCCTCTCTGGCAGTTTGAATGCACCATTGACTCCTCAGGAGAAAGATAGGCAATCTTCTCCTGAAAATTTATAGCCTCAGAAAACCTTCTGCAAGGCAATGAGTTTTTTTCCAAAATGGCTGCCAAAGAAAAAGAGAGAGAAAGTACATCAAAAACATTGCCATTGATTTTATTCCAATTCACAGCAACTGCATGTATTACAAAACAGAATAGGGTCTCCTTAGGTGTAATGTTTATGGAAGGGAGCACTAGTGGCCTAGTCGTTAAGGAGCTGTGCTACCAATTCGAAGGCTTATGGTTCAAATTCATCACTTGCTCTGTGGGAGAAAGATGGGCAGTCTCCTCCTGTGTGATTGTCTCTGAAAACCTGCTGGAGGAACAGCTTTGGATCAGTTTCAACTTAATGGTATATAACAACAATCTTTATATAAGCAATTTGCCAGGAGTTGTGCTGCTAAACCCAAAGGCCATGCCTCTCTAGCAGTTCAAGTCTTCAAATTCACCCTCTGCTCTGAGGGAGGAAAGATAGGGAATCTTCTCCCATGTAATTTACAGTCTCAGAAACCCAGTGGATGGACAGCTATTAGTCAGTTCCAACTCCATGGCAACAAGTGGTAATGAGTTCTTGCCCTCCTGGGTAGATTCAAACCACTAGCCTTTAGATTAGTATACAATTGCAAATCAAGTGTCACCCAGGATCACAATTTGCTGGGTGAATAGATATAAAAAGAAATTCTAGATGGTTCCAGTAGATGGGCATTCAGAAGAATGAAGAATTCTCTAACAGTGCTGGCCAAGAATGGAATGGCAACCTTGAGAGTGATGAGCTCTGTATTAATAAACATATTCCAAGAAAGAGTAGATCTTCATTTGGAGGCTGAACCAGGTTGTGAGATCAAGGTTGTGATTTGGGATCATATAGAACAAATTGTTGGAGAAGGACCAGGGGCAAGAACAGCCAATTAGGAGCCACTTAGCCAATTAGGAGATAAGAAAATAGATTAGGATTGCAGTAGGACTGAAAGCTGTGATCTGGAAGAAGTAGTGACAACAGGATGAGAGTTAGGAGCCACTAGTTCCATCTAACATACTTTGGACATGTTGTAAGGAGAGACCGGTCCTTGGAGAAGGACATCATGCTTGAGAGGGTGGAGGGACGGCGCAGGAGGGGGAAGGCCCTCTATGAGGTGGATTGATTCAGTAACTGGGATAATCAGGATGGGAGTGTCAGAGACAGTGCGACTGGCACAGGACAGAGCAGAGCTTAGGGCTGTTGTACATAGGGTCGCTATGAGTCACAAGCAACTCGACGGCACATAACAACAACACAACAGTTCTGTCCTGACTCT